TATAAACAAGAATGATTAACATACCTTTTCACACCTTGCAGGTGGAGCTAGAACTTCATTTTCTTTATATAATAACTTAACAGAGAAAAATAACAAAAACAGTAGGAAACCCAACCAAGATAAAACAAATCAATCACGATGAATAAAAGCCCTCTTAAGATGTTTGCTAAATGGAATAGTAAAATGTATACCGCATTAGTCCCAGTACGTATCATTTCAAGGATAGGCAAATCGCCTGACAAAAATATCATGTTTTAAACAAACACATTATACATTTTAACAAATATTGTTTTCATGTTAAGAAAATATATGTTATGTATAAATAATAATCTTTTTCATTAGTGAACAGAACTACTACAAGCACAGTTGATTCAAGATTCAAACCATCATTATTGTTTTCTACTTGGTGAAAAGGTATGTCTTAAAACACGGTTTAGTTATAGAATAAGTTTTTATCATATGGTCTCAGTCGTCGTCGGAGAAGTCCAATCGCAAGTCCTGGAAGAAATTCGAGTTGGTTTACTATCCGAAGCTATTAAGAAAATGCCGGGATAAAAACTGACACTTTTGGATTAAAAATAAGTTGAACTAGAGGTGGACTTTTTAGGACAGAGGAAGTCGTAGAAAATGATCAGATATTACTTAGTGCGATAACACCCCACGCTAATAGATTGTGCTTAACCATGCTGTACTAGTGGAAGGAAACTCTGTTGACATGTCTTTTTTCGCGAGAAAAGAGAATATATTTATATATAACATACTGATATTTGTATCATAGCCATAAGCCTAAACTAAGATTTCAGGAAACTTCCCTACAAAACAATTTTTTGTCGGCATAGGTTGTGCACGAGTACCGAATACATTTCCTGTTGAGCATCGATGCGTACGAATGCGAGATTCTGGCACCAGTGCGCACCGATGCCATAAAAAAAGTTTCATTTCGTACGGATGCAATCGACGCCAAGTTTCGTTTTCAATCACCATTTTATTTTGTTATTGTTCCCGTATATAAACACCATAGTATACTTACAATATTTTGAATATCTTTGCGGCCCACATCTTTTACTTCTCATAAGAGAAGAGCCGAGGCAATACCGTATGCTTATCGTATAAGCGCTGGCGCGCATCGTCGATGCCGATCCTTTTTTTTGCAATGCCGCATCGAATTTTTTTTATGATGTGGTATTGAAAAAAAGAAGCACCTGCATTGAATTTTAGCAATGCGGCATCATTTCTGAACTGAAAAATCGTTGGCATCGCCGGCTTCGGTGCGCACCGATGCGCATCGGCGACCATTTTGATGCCAATCATTTTTCTTGCGATGTCGCATCGAATTTTTTTTCGTAGGATTATCTCTAAGTTACAAAGAACAGAAAGGGCGAAACGTTATAAAGTACAGGAAAAAGATAAAATGACGTTTTCAGATTTTCTGCCATTCTGGCCCAAGCATTATAAAACGTAAATGTTCTGCTCGATCATGGAAGAGAAGTTTTGAAAATGAGCGATTTAAGTTCCCAAATGCAGTAGATGAGGATGAACATAGCATAGCATTACTTATGAATCAATACTCTAAAAATAGGAGAATGTTCGAACCTTTTAAATTTTGATTCAAAACCGGCCATAAAAGGTTTTTCTCAAATGCGAAGAAAACGTTTTCGTCTCAACCTTCAAAAGCAAGAGAAAATATTATCATGTAAGGTCATCACTTGTCCTCTACTTGAACAACGACTTTTATTTTAGATTCATTATCATCATTTACAAATACTATGAAAGTCTTATTTCTGGTACTTATACTATTTACATGTGTTCCTGAATTTTGTCATGCATTTTCAATTCAACAAGGAATTGATTTTGTTCTATCATTAGCACAAAATAAACCGGTTCAACAAGCATTCGATCTGATTCTATCACTGACACAAAATAAACTAAGTTTGTTAGAAAATTCGAAATTTGTACAACAACTATTTGATAAATTTAAATCCGAATATCAACGTACGTATCTGAATAAACAAGAGCAGCAACAACGGTTAGAACAATTCAAAGAAACCCTAAAAAGTCTCATATTGGCAAAAGTGCAAGATTTAACATTCCAGTTAAAATTGAATGAGTTTTCTGATTGGACAATAGATGAATTACAAACACTACGTGGTTATGTGCCACACAATGACAGTGATCGAGACGCGCCTATAGATAAACCACAACCGATACTAGTTGACCATCGTCGTCGTTCGTCACTATCTCGTCGTCGTTTATCACTATCTCGTCGTGCGTCTTCATTGCCCGCTAGTTTTGATTGGACCGGGAGGGTATTGACAAGCAATAGTGCTGTTACTGTTACACGTCCTATTAAAAACCAGGGTCAATGTGGTTCATGCTATGCATTTGCAACAGTTGCTGTCCTTGAGACCGTATTTACATTGCAATATCCCGCCTCGTATGATTTGAGTGAACAACAAATTGTGGATTGTTCTAAAGCGTATGGTAATTATGGTTGTGGTGGTGGTTTTTTTGAAAAGTCATTTGATTACTTGAAAGCTAACGCATGGAATCTGGATTCTAGTTCATCTTATCCTTATACTGCGAATGATTACTCATCATGTAAAGCAAAAAATTCAGGTGTACGTTTTGCAAAATTAGCTTATGGTATTATTACATTTGGGGATGAAGCAGCCATGAAATCTTATTTGTACAATTACGGACCATTGTGGATTAGTTTCGATGCGAGTAATCCATACTTCAATAGTTATGCGTCTAGTGTTTATTCTGTTTCAAATTGTGGTACATTAGAATCACAAACGAATCATGCCATGGTGATTGTTGGCTATGGTACAGATTCTTCAACCGGCTTAGATTATTGGAAAGTCAAAAATTCGTGGGGAAAGAGCTGGGGTGAACAAGGTTTCATTCGTGTTCGACGTGGAGTTAATATGTGCGGTATCGCAGCACGAGCATACTATATTGGACTTGCTACATCTTGAAAAATAACATATCGATATAAGAAACAGTATCGAGTGTAGACTTTTGTTCTAAAGACATTATACTTCTGTGAGTAAAACACTAATTTCTCTTCTTTCTTTGAATTTGTATTTGTTTTACAAAACGAAATAAATAAAACTTTTAACTTTATCATCTAAAGAAGTGACTCGCCTTTTGCCAGAAAGCACGTTTCAGAAGACAATTAATTTTATTTTAATATAATATCATTCCATTGTGGGTTATCGATTTTTAAATGTGTTATCTTTTTCAAGCTCTTCTGCATAATGTAGCAATTTTCTCTAATACATTTGGTATTATGGATTCGCCTCATACCTATTAGGAAAAGAAATTTATGATTCAAATATTTACCAAAAAGAAATTAATTTACCCGTAAAACAGTTACAGCATTGACTAAATATGTGACTTCAATGTCGGTAAAATGTGTTGAACGTCCGACACTAAGGTGACTAAGCTTATGATGAGTAATGAAGCTGTAAAAAGGGTATATTCTGTTTTTAAAGAGAAAAATCCCCACATTATTTGTTGATAATAATTTCATAAAGGAAAAGATTAATTGTATGAGTTCAACAATCATCATTTTAAAACTTTTATTTAAAACAGGAGCTTTCGATTATAACTGTAATCATCGTCAGCTACATTTAAACGAAAAACACTCACAGTATATATGTTCATTTTACTATTCTTTTCTGTTCTCTTCTCTTCTGTGAATGTAGTAGATATTTCTAAGAATATTCTTTTTCATTCTCTTAGAGAAAATAGTGAAAAATTCTACGAAATATGCACACTATATATATGTACGTTAGAGTGAGACAGAGTAGTGTGCATATTTCGTAGAATTTTTCACTATTTTCTCTAAGAGAATGAAAAAGAATATTCTTAGAAATATCTACTACATTCACAAAAGTTATCATTCCTAGTCCGACGAAATTTCCCTGTAGCTAAATGGTGTAAAGGCTGAGGCACAAAACGAGTATAAATTGCCAGACAGGAAGAAATAAAACTTCATCTTTTTCGTTGTACGCATGCGTGTGAATATCTTTTAAGAGGGAAACCCCGCACTCCACTACTCCGAACCATCCGCGGAGTAGTGAAGTGCGGGGTTTCGCCGAACTTAAAGCAACCTTTTCCGATTTTAGTTCCTTTGTTTGGTTTAAATGTTGTTGTTTTTTGTGACCATCATATAATTTTAATATGTTCTGGTCTCGGTTCTGTTTTGATATTCAATTACAAGGGAAGCAATATCCTGTAATATCTCACTATTGTTTAGGAGAGCATTTAGGGTGATTTGTTTTTTATTCCTCAATTTTTGTAAAATTTGCCGACGTTTCTCAGTCAATACTGTCATTGTAGTAATATGTGGTTTCTCGTCGACAATGGATGGTTACATAGTTTACATTTTGTTGATTTTACCTCATGCCGAATGTATTTTCTCGTCTCTATGCCAAATGTGTTCGATCTTAATTGATATAGTATTTTTTGTTCTTGCCTGTTTAGAGTCATTATTATTCTCGGTGTGTCTAAATTTGGATTGCTAACAAGATAAGATTTCATTTTTGCAGTTGATGTGAACTCATTTTTCCATAATTCCTTTGTATGATCGTATATCAAATTTGATGCTTCATCAAATGTATATGGACATACTGCTGTTATTGAAGTTGTTATTGTGGTATTAGCGATAATCGATCGTGCTGATTCATCTGCTATGTCATTTCCCACGCTTCCACAATGCCCGGGAATCCAATGAATATTATTGTTGTTGTAGCTCATTGATTAGTTGTTTAATCCGTGAAATAGTATTATTATTAGTTCGAGATGATCGAATGCTTCTTATCGCTCCTTGATTGTCACAGAATATTGTAATGCTATTATTAGATGATAATGAGCTTTTCACATATTCGATAGCCATCAATAGAGCTCATATTTCCACAAAATATGACGAGTGATATTTTCCCAATAATTGCGTGCGAATTACACTCAGATTTGGAATATAAAATGCAGCTGAAGACAGATCATTAATTTTTGAGCCATCTGAGTAGATTAAAATGTGATTATCGCCGGATTCAGATTGCTCAATTAGTATTCGTTCATTTTCTAATGCACCAGATAGATCACTTTTTATTTCACTAACAATTGACGGTGGAGATGGTTGAAATCTCGAAATTAGTTCTAAATTATTCATACACATCTTTAATTTCTCATCGACAATCATACTTGATTCGATTTCATTGTTCATTATTGTCAATGGACATGATTTTGATTTCACAATGATTTTTCATAATGGATTAAAAAGACCTTTTGATCTAACCGACGCTGCTTTTTTCAATCTTTTCATTTTTAGATGTAATCTCAACGGTAATATTCTACATTCAGCCTCGATGACTTGTGGTGAGATTTCAAATGAATCGATAGCATAGGACAAATATTGTTTCTGAATTTTTTCGATTCTTTTTAGTGATGATTTTGCTAATGTAGCTGACGATACAGGCGCACCGTAATCGATCTTTGAAATTAATCGAGTTTTGTATAAATCAATTAATGTTTTCACATCTTGTAGCTTATTTTGACTAATCCATCGCTTTATTTTGCCAAATTCTCTAGCTATTGATATACTAATTTGCTCAAGATGTTTGTCCCGCTTAAACTTTTTGTCAAATATCACCCCTAAATAGTTAATGGGATCCGATGGTAGTATTCGGCTGCCTTTATAGATTAAATGAGAATTCTGACGTTGTCTTTTTCGATTAAAATAGATTAGATGTGTTTTATCAATTTGGATCTCCAATTTTATTTCTCTTAATGAATTTTCGATTTTACTGATGAATGATCTTAATCTCATTACATTATATCGACTTTTTTTTCCCGACACAGTAACTGTCAGGTCATCAGCATAACCAAATAGTATAGTGTTATTCGACGAAGTTCTAAAAATTGATCTAATGTAAATATTAAATAGGACTGGCGATAATGAGCTTCCTTGTGGAATTCCGTAACTAGATAGTTTAACTTTTGATGTAATGTCATTTTCAATAGAAATATAAGCTTGTCGTGGCCCGCAAAATGATCTAATAAAACTGACGAAAGCCGACGATATACCCGAATCTTTTAGTTTAGTAAATAACAGATTTGGATCGATACTGTTAAATGCTTTGCCAACATCGAGGAATGCTGCTGATATAACTTGGTTTTTGTCAACACCTTTTGCTATTTGATGAGCCAAAAACAGCTGAGCATCCTCTGTGCCTAATCCTTTTCTAAATCCAAACTGATTGTCATGAAAAATGTTCAAATTCTCACATTCTGCAATTAATTTGTGGCTTATGATTTTTTCTAAAATTCTTACAAATGAAGATATTAAACTAATTGAGCGGAAGTATTTGGCTACGTATGAAAAATTTCGTCTTTTCTTTTTGAATGCTAACATCTTTATAACTCTCCATGTCTATGGATAATACGCTGTTGTTACTACGGCATTAAAGAATTTCAAGAGGATAGAATGAAATAAATCACCCGCTTGTTGTATCATTATTATGTGTATTCCTAAGAAATCAGCCGCTTTTTTAAGTGACATTTGTTTTAGAATATTATTCATTTCTATACTAGGGATGAATTCATCTATTTTTACATTGGTATTTAAATCTTGGCCACTATTGTTATCCGTGCAAAATTCATCTATAAATTCCTGAACTATCTCATGTTTTTCTACAAGCTGTTTGTTATTTTCATCAATTAAATCAGGGATTGGTTGTTGAGGTTTTCTCGACATTTTTGTCTGTATTGTTCGTAGTTTCATTGATTTACTAATTTTAGACCAATAACCTGATTTTGCTGTTTCAATATCAGTTTCAAACCGTTTTCGTTCTTCTAAATATCTGTTGTAATTCTGTGGTGATCGATTTTCCTTCTACCATCTTTTAAATTTTCTCACTAATTTTCGTTTTATTGTCAATTCTGGGGTCTATCAATATTTACTGTTTTTATTCACAATTACTTTTGGAATTGTAACATGAGCTGCATTCAGTAAGATGTCATCTATTTGTTTTGCAAATTTATCAATCTCATCTTTATTTCTGATTAATGCTGCCTCTAAACCTGTTGCTCCAATTGCATCATCAATATTTTGCACGAATTTAGTCCAATCTGCCCTTGAATAGTTCCATCTACACATGTCCTGAAATGATTGAAAAGTTGATTTTTTCCGTTCTAAATCGTGCAGATTAATTTCAATGAGTTCATGGTCTGTCTGATTTAATTGCTGTTTTCCTACAGACCACTTTGGACTAAACAATAATAGTTCTTCAGTATGAAGTGTTAAATCTATAATACTGCTAGATCCCTGTGAATCAAAATAGGTAGACACTCTAAATTCATTGGCTATTTCCAGATCATATTCAATTATTTTCTCATATAATTTTTTACCGGCAGTGTTGTTTACGTGATCGCCCCAATGTTGATGTCTTGCATTTAAATCCCCTATGAGAATAATCTCATCGGTATGTTTCTTTATTTTCTTGTACATTTTGTCAATAAATTTAATTACATTTTGGCGACCGGGACGATTATAAACAGCAATAAAACAGGTTATTTTCGGTTTTGTGTGAGCAAACAAATCTATTATATCGTTTTGATCTGTTTCACATTCAAATGCTCTCGTTATGTTCAATGAGTTTTTAAAGCAGACTAATACTCCACCTTGTCGTTTTACACATCTTTTTGTCATGCACAAATGGTCATTTTTAACAGTTGTTGCTGCATCATCATGATATTCAGACACAATAAGAAAATCGTAATAATGTTGATTGACAAATGAGTTCAATAATTCGGTACTAAACAAGATACGTTTTCTTGCATTAGCTGATAATATAGTTAATTGGCTACTATTATGATCGATAGCGGAACTAGTCATTGGGTCTTTTATTTAATCTGAAGTAACAACTTAGTGTTTACTTGGTTTTTCGTTCGTTGCTATCGGTTTACAATAGAAGTAGACAAGGATGGTCTTTGTTCTGATGTTATAATCCTTCTGCTATAGTGACAGTCTACACTACGTTGCACAAAAACCGCTGTTAAGTGGCGGCATCAGAAATGTAGTTTTCCCGTTCCGACGCAGGAACAGGATCCTGGAATCCTCAACTCGCGGAATAAATTTATGAAAATTCCAGAGAATAGGTAATTAACTCTGAGGAAACCAAAAAACAGTATGCGAGACCGCTAGTACGTATTCTATTGGTTAGAAACGTTCTGATGGATTCCGAATCTCACAAATACATTATTCTAGGGGAGACAAGCACTATTTATTCGCTCATCGTGAAGGTTTCGGTCAAACACTTGTTTCGTACAACGAGGGGAGGGGTGATGGATAGTGGGAGTGAGTGTCATGGACGCCTGAAAGCCTACAGACGTAGCGAAAATTCGTAAGATACACGTTCTTGTGTCGACATGCGAATACTGCACTCGTGAGTTTCATTGCTATTTTCAGACCCCTTATAGTCGGGTGTCTATTCTGTTTCACTTTCATCCAATCAAGTCGACCTTTCTTTGCAAAGTTATAGAATTTATAAGAAGAGCCCTAAATTAATTATTTCTGTAGCTTTGATCTAATAATGAACAATTTAGGGCTCTTCTTATAAATTCTATAACTTTGCAAAGAAAGGTCGTATGAATCTGGGGGATATTTAAGTTTAATCAGAAATTTGCGCGCTACAATCCTGCATTGTTAAGAAAAGTTTGGGTTATTTTTGGAGTTTCTGAAAAACCGACTTTTCAGAAGACCGGATCTTCGAAGTGCTATGGGAAACCCCCATGGTCATATTCAGAATCAGCATGGTCGATAACCTATAACCCACTAGATTTCGATCAAAAAGCGATTTATCACCTCGGGAGGTTCCCTCGTTAGTTCTTGCTATTCACAGTCACATACTCTGTTACTTTTAAACTGCTTCATACGTATGTTCCTTTTTCTTCTTTTTTTAAAAAGTTTGTTCACGGTTTTGGTATTGTTGGTATATTCTTCATATGCTAGAAACATTGACCTGTAATGCCATTTGGCGATTGGTCCATTAATGAAAGCGTTTAAGCTAATTGAGGCTGTACGTCAATCTTTTGTTTCTATTTTAAAGGACAACTTGTTCGTTATAATGCTGCTTGTTCTGTATCATTATGTGGAACAAATAGTTGTTCATCTCAACAATGCTATAGTTTTCAAACAGTCAATCGTACTAACATATGTGCACCACTCGTAATATGCAGTCTACTTGATCCATGTATTAATAGTAGTGGCAATTTGAAATGTTCGACAAATAATTCTGTTTGTATACAAAATACTTGTTGTCCACAAGCAATATGCTTACCGTTAGCATTAACAACATCATGTACAAATATGACCAGTAGCAGTGGAGCAACTAGTACATGTAAGGTTTTTTATTTTTGTTTTATAGTTTTAGAAATTTTTTATGTAATTCAAACAAAAAGTAAAGAGGTACTCCCTATGAAATCGTTTAGTAATCTGGATTTTTAAGATGTAGTTCGCTAAGGTGTCGAAAAATTTGATAATATGCGACCAAAAAAATATCTTTCATTTTTTCGATTTTTGGTGCCTGCATTTAAAATCGTCTATAAATCTAAATCTTAGTCTTGTTAAACTTTTTTTCGCTAAGAAAATTTGTTTTTAAAAAATTACCAGCATATTTTTCTCTAAGCTCTATATATTTATCGCCTTTGATTGTTACTGGGAAAAACTGAATTCGATGATGCTTAATGAATCATTGAAAAAATGCATTGTATTAAATGGGGATTCTTGTTCTACTTCATTTTTCCAACACTTTCTTAAGATTGTATTTAAAGTTTTCTAGTGCATTCTATAGATTATTTTCTCTGTTCTATAAGGAAAATCGATCACCACAGAATTACAACAGATATTTAGAAGAATCAGTTCAGTTTTAATATACTCTCCTGAGCTGAAAACTGTTTTCAATTTCAGCCGGCACTGCCTCCATACCTTCAGGTAGTGGAACAACAGTTCATACATCATCTTCAACAATCGTTACAATAACACGTAAGAAAATATTTTTGTTCTGGAAGATGTGATGATAGCATTACGCAATGTATCGTGAATTTCGTAAGTGTAATACGATGATTATAGAGTAAGCGTAATATAATTTCTAGGTCTGCCGAAACGTCCGTTTTTCCTCTGCGCACTCCCATTACTCCCAGTCTCATCCTCATTCCTTCAATTGTCTATCCTACACAAAGTCTGCTGAATTCAACAGGTAATTTCATACGTCATTCACTCATTTCATCCGCTGAATCTTTATTTTCGTAATACGCGAAGTACGACAAGTGATACATGGCGTAGTGCTACTATGACATCTGTTTTTTCTGTAGTTGAAATGATATTAATCCTACGGTTTAGGATGTATACTACTTCAATAACCATGTACTCATCTTGAACATTTTTGCATCGAAAAATTCTGTTTAACGGACGTTTTATGTCTAATGTTCAAAGAAAATCTCAATTTACAGAATATGTTTTTGTAAAGAATTTAAAATATTAGTTTGATCTTTAATTCCTTATAGTGCTATAAATTAAAACTATGGAAAAAGACAAAATGAATTTTGTACAAATACAGATTCAAATACGTGAACTTAGTTTTTGCAGTTTACTGCAACACTAAATCCACTGTTTTGTGTCTATATTTGTACAACGATTGAAGTTGTGCAATCGACTCGAGGTTACCACTGGTAGACTATTTAGTATGTTTTTTGTGTTCCGTCTTTTTATATTAGCTTTATTCTTTCAAAATACAAGCGGAAAAGTATTATTTAATAATAGTATTCATAATGGAATATTTTTCCCCTTGTATTCTGAAAACCAAGCTATATCTTTAATTCAAGAGAGATAACTATTTTCGAAGAATTATTCGATTATTATTGAGACACCTCTTGAAAAGAAAAGTTCAAACTTTTAAGGTGCACGCAAAGCAAAATTTTAGCAAAATTTCAACTTTTGCTTTCAAATTTCAAAAAAACTCAACTTTTGAGAAATAAAAATATCATTTTCGGAATCAGAATCAAAAACTGAGTCGATTGATATGTATTTCGTAAGTTTTAATTGATTTTCAATTTTGAG